CTATACGCTGTCGGCCGGGTGTCGTGGCGTGGCGTGGCGTGGCGGGGGCGAGGCGTGGCGTGGCGAGGCGTGGTGAGGCGTGGCGTGGCGAGGCGAGGCGTGGCGTGGTGGGGGCGTGGCGTGGTGTGGCACCCGATGCCGGCAGGGCATGGCGGCCACGGGCGGCCGTGGCCATCGACCTGCACCGTCCTCCTGCACACCCTTCTGTCAGTTCGGGCTGCCGTCCGGGTCTTGTTGGGGTCCCATTGGGGGACCTCTCTGCCCCTCCCGGCCCCCCGGGCTCCCGCCGCCGCCGCCTACACGAATCGCAGCGGCACAGATAGCGCTCTAACGCGCGCTCGCACTTCATCGACAAGACAGGCGGCGGCGATAGTATTGCCAGTGACAGGGTGAATGAGCAGGGCCGGGCGGGGGCGAGCGGGGGCGGGCGGGGTGCGCCACTCACACAACACAGCGACAGCCCGCCGCTGTCCTGTTACGCCCGCGTATCGGAGGGGCTGACGCCGACCTCAGCCGTATCCACCATGTCCAAACTTCGTGCTCAATTATACACACACAAGCAGTGGTGCACCCGTCCGCGAGGACGCGAGCGCGAGGGGCATGTGAATACGGACGGAGCTGAACAGTAGTGCACCGCGGCGCCAAAAGCTGTTTACATTTCAAGTAGACACATGCCCCCACAACAACTGAAGCAAAGTGCGCGTGCCAAAATCATTGATACAGTTTAATTATGGAAGAAAAAAGAAAATAAAAAGAGTCAAACGTAAACGCACGCTTTCACTGTACAGCTCTTCAAAGCGCTATTATGATCTTCAACCGTCACTTTGATTTGTACGTATTATTTAAATGAGCTTATGCAATGCATTCATCGGCAACCGACAACGATATTCTAGAATAAATCACAGAATAAGAGCAAAAGTGGCAAACTAGCGTCGTTTGCCGCGTTTACTATTGTCGGATACTCCATCGACTTTATGGCGTAAAAATGCGGGAGGGATAGAGAATGCCCTCGCGAATCCCACCAAATCAGGGGCTAGAGCATGATGATTGCAGTACGCTCGCGGCTGTGCCCCCCGCGGGGCCGGACCGCATCCCGCTATGAAAACTCATTGACAGCTCGCCAAACATACGGCCGCCGGAGGGCTGCAGCCGAGTGCAGTGCGTTGTGGGCGTGCCCGGGCCCGGGCCGGCACAGCCCGGCGCGTGGTGCTCTCCCGCAAATGAAAACCAAACCTTCCGCTGCACCACTTCCACGGCAAGCTCGGTGCTGCAAATCTTGTTCTGTTCCGCGCGCCCCACTCCAGCCCCCCGCCCCCGCTACGCTACGGCGAAACACGGTCCCACCGCAGCCCGGCGGCGGCACAGGGGTTTGAGGGAGGGAGTGGTGGAAGACCACTTAATTGACAACAAATTGATTCGGTTGTCGTTGCCCACGAATCGCTGTGTGCGCGCGAACGTGCGCCATCACCCACCGTGTAGTCGCAGGGTATTCTGAAATTATTTTACTTCTCGAAATAAACCTGAAAATCCGGAACCTATGTACACATTTCATGTACGCATTCCGGTTTAAGTTGTTCGGAATGATCTAAATGAATGATTAAATGGATTATCAGAAAATTATGTCATTTTTCGACGAAGATCATTGGTGGAAATGGCAAATGGGAAATACGCCATACCACAACAGCGGAGCTAAGCGCCTGCGAGACTCGTGGTAGGCCACCCCGCAATACACGCATGCGTTAAAGCCAAGATATTGCCTACCCGTCAGGCGCTATGGGGCCTTGCATTGGCAATAGCAAGAGGCAATTTAATCGCGATGGATGAAGGGCGCGCTTTTTGGATGATCGCACCGCAGTAAGACCTACAATTGAAGTCAAAGAACGGGTTTATTTCTTAACACCAAATTCGTTTTGTGTGTAAGATGTCCGCAATCACAGAAACCGAAGAAGTGTTGTGGAAATAACTTTTGCCGCTGCTACGTCAATCAATATCGCTTCGCAAGGCCCTTTCCCCTTCTTCTTCCCGATGTGACATCTGACTCAGCTCGTCGGGGTCCGCCCTTCATACGGAGCCCCAGCGCCCTGAGCCCCATCCCAGCCCCCCCCCACGCACCCGCACGCATGCCTCGGCGCGGATTTCGCAATAATTTTCTTTACACAGGGCCGCACCCGCCACCCCGAGCCGCCAGAGAGACAACACAACACAAGGGGGGCTGGCATGGTGGGCAGCACACATCACCTCCATAAAGATTGCGCTCTATTCCTTTATCTGCCGTGACGTCACGGGGTGTCGTCTGCAGCGGCGGGGGCGGCGGCTCGGGGGCGGCGCCTGGGGGGCGCCAGGACGCGTCGTCATACCCGCCCCTTCGGCCCCTGCTCTCCCTCCAAGGGCCCCCCGAGAGCCATTCCCTCCCCCCTCCCCTCCCCGACACCTCGACCCGGCCCTGCCGTCGCTTGAGAGCGTCCCCCCGGCGCGCGCAGCTTGATGTCTCGTTGATGTCTCATCGCGCCCGAGCGGCTGCACATCAACGGCGCTGTGCGGCGCTCTCCGGGGAGGCCGTTTGGATCGTGATTGATTCGCCTGCATCGGGAACCATACCGGCGGCGCGCGCTAATCGCCTTAGTGCCGCACACTTGGCGCCGGCACGCTCCGCGCGGGCCAGGCCGGGTCCAAGTCAAGAGCAGTAGTCCCAGTCCTCAGGTGGGCGGATACGGCGGAGACGGTCTCAAATAGCCAGTGGAAGGCGTGGGCCGAGAGCCGAGAGGTCGACGGGCTCCGACCGGAGGTGTGCAGAAGGACGAAGGACGAGTCGTCATGGGGATTGACACGGCTCCCATAATCCAACTCCGACAACTCCAGCCCCGCATCGAGGGGTACACCACTCTTAAAAGTAGGTGTACGCGATGAAAAAAGTCAAGAAAAAAGTCAAGATAAAGTCAAAAAGTCATTTGAAAAGTCAAAAAAAGTCAAAAAAAGTCAAAAAAGTCAAATAAAAAGTCAAAAAAGTCAATTGAAGTCAACGTGTAGTCGTCGGGAAGTCAACGAGAAGTCAGAGAAAAGGCACTGAAAAAGTCACCAAAAAGTCAACATGACAGTGCAATATCTGCCTTTAAGAGGCCAAAAAGCTACCTGTGATTGTATCGGAAAGTCCTAGATCACTGTCTTTTAAAGAGGTAGGAGGGCGGGTAAAGTGAGAAAAATGAAATTATTGGATTTCATGGGATTGCTTGATCAAAACACTTAAATATTGAAAATGATATGTTTTTCTTCCTTGGGGAGTGAACTCTGATGACGAATTTTCTTCTTATTCGATTCATGCTTTAAATCATACCAAAAAGTCTTGAAAAACCTTATTATTAGCCCCCAAAAATTCGACTCTCCCTTATTTTCAAAAAATAGGGGAAAAATTCATAAAAGTCAAATAAAATTGATCAAAAAGTAAAAAAAAAGTCAAATTAAAGTACAAAAAAAGCCAAAAAGTCACGGCGAAAGAAAATTGACTAAAAGTAGGTGTACGCCCAGAATCGGAGTGGTGTACCCCTCGCCCCGCATCCTCCTGCAGACTTCTCCGTCGCCCACCCGCCGGGCGGGCCACGTGCTGGGTTGTTAGTAGTGACTCACGGTCTCTTGATCTAGATCAGCTACAACCTCACTTTTTAGGCAGTCCCCAAGACTGCCTCTACCAGAGTGTAAAGAGACCACTCTCCCCCAACTCACCGTCACCAAGGCGCTCGGAGAGGCCTGGTGTGCTGTCGCTCAGAATAATTCGTCGTCGTTACTTACTATGAGGAAGCTGCTAGCTCGATAAGATGAACATAAGAAGACGATAGCCCTGATGAGATTGCGTGGCGTAGCGCCGTCCCTAAACAAAGCAGAAGATGAACGACAGCCTACCCAGGCAGCAAGGCCTGCATCTTTTGCGCATTTTAAGCGCCACAAATGCAGGTCAATGCGCTAAAAATGCGCATTCTACGCGCGGCTCTGCTACCTGGGTAACAGAGGTTATGTTGCAGGTCGTTAGATTTTAAACTGTTTAGAACGGAACTATGCATCTAGCACCTTACCTTGGTAACACCTCCACCTTTACCAAGGTTTATTACGACAGTTGAGTTATTATCAGTGAGTTAAAATTGTACAAATGCAATATGTCCGGACACTAACCTAGACAACGACACCGGGACGGTTTGGAAGGTTGTGTAAACTTACTTTTCCGACGCAAAACTGTACAGAACCACGTATTGACTCAATAACGCTACTCCGATAATATCTAGACGCATTTGGTTTTTAACAAATTGTACAAAACTTGGTTTATGATCACACATGCACTCGCGGCAAAACACAGAAGCTATGGTCACCTGCGTTCTGCTTTGTTTATGGGCGGCGCTACGCCACGCCACCACCTTAGGGCTAACCTCTTCTTGTTCCTCTTAACGAGCAGCTTCCTTCTAGTTGAAAGGAATAAGATTTCTCGCGACGGAGAAGCAGAAGCGCTGCTGTGTAGCGGCGAGGTGAGTGCCCTTTCTGGCCCTTTAAACGTTAGGGGGAAAAGGGTGCGCCGCCCTGTCGCTGAGCGAGGGGGTCCAAGCAGAGCCATTGACACACACCCCTTTACCCCCCCCCCCCTCATAACCTGAGCCCTGTCTCACCGAGGAGGGGGACAAAAGAACTTCCACACCGCTGGAGTAAGGAAAGGGACAACATTGTCATTCATTTCATGTGCTGGCCGCCCACTCTGTGCGGAGCGCCCGCCCCGCCCGACGACGCTGCAGCCCACCCCGCCCTTTTGTAAGGGCGGACGGCGTGGGCGTGGGAGCACACACCACCGCTCCCCCACCCCTCACCCTTGCCGGACCATTATTTGTTGACATTGCACCCGCCATTTACGCGACGACTTGGCTGCTTTATTTTCCGACCCCCTTCGCCGCCGCCTCCGCCGCCACTGTGTTCCGCGCAGGCGGCAAGCAAGCGTCGTCCCTGGGCTGCGCCGTAGCCTGCGCTGTAGCCTGCAGACTGATTCCGGAGAGCGCTCAAGGGGAGGTAGACGGGAGAGGAGGCCTCGCGTGGGTCGGCACCGGCGCGTCGGGCGTGGTACTGATCGGGGACGCTCATCGGTTCGGCAACGGCTTCGGCTTCGGCCGCCTTCGGCTCTGCCTTCGGTTCGTGCTCGTGGGTGTTCAACTGTTCCTGCTCGCGCTCGCTAGTGCCATTGTCGGCCATTATTAGGCATTCAACTTCTCGTGGTTCTAGCCGCTGGTTCTTGACCATTACCTTTCGCCTCGTGTCGCCTGTGTACTTGTGGTTCGAAATGGGTAAGTGAATTCCTGGAGTTTTACCAGGTTTTAGTTTTCGTAGAATGCTTTCCTCTTGCTGAATGTTTCGGAATGGAGTTGCTGTGTTATTTGTTCAAACGAAAAGCCGCAGGCTACTAGGGTGTTCATCCTGGTATTGCAATGGGTAGATGTGGGCCATATCGTTGGTTTTTACTGCCCCATCGTCAATCAAATCACCGTAATTAATTCATCAGAATGTGCGTAATGAGGGACAAACAATTGTAGTTGTATTTTCGGTTCCGAGTCCGTAACCTAACCTCTTCTCACGGGGCAGTAGGCTAGGCGCAACCAACATTGAACTTTCTTTCACTTTGCTGTACCCCTCTGCCCGTTCCCGCATCAAAATTGTTCTATCTGCGGATTTATTGTACTTAATAATTCCTTGTAAAGCGAAGTACGCGTGTTCAGACTTCATCCGTCGTCTTGCTATGCGTGGTCATTCCCTCCCTAAATTTTTTGCTGGTTACGACTGGCAATGGGTCTCTAAACCTCCAATGAATTGTTTGAATCTTTCTGTATCTAAGATGTTACTGTCAATCCTCTCAGAATTATAGAATCATGTACCTAAATTATGATGAAATGCTGACCACATTTTGGGAATTTACGTGTTTCTTTTCTATTGCAATCGTGCAACCTGCTGGGACTAATATTATGTTATTCCATTTGTCATTTTCAACTTGTTCATATCAAGATTGCTATTGAGAGGCATTGTTCTTTTTCAGATTATTGTGCTCCATCAGACGTCCAATGGGATGCTCTTTTTAATTATATTGCTAATGACCCCGAAATGCTGTCAGGGGTTACGGTCCATCCTGGTGGAAAAGTGAGGATGCAACGGAAATGGGACAGTCTTGCAATTATTGTCAATGATGCAGACAAAGATTCAGCACAAAAGACTGGGAAACAGTGGAAGAGTGTAAGTGAACCCTCCAACTACCTTCTTTTTACTTATTCCCCTTGAAACTAATTGTAACTTTTTACCAGGCATGGAATGGCATTAAGGGACGAGCAAGGAAGTCGTACAGGGACAAGGTACTCCCAAACCTTGTGGCCGGGCAGCCATTTCCTGACCCAAACACTGTGGAGGGTCTTTCGGAAAATTATAAGCGTGTGCTCATAATGACCGGTGTGGAGGCTGCTATGGCAAATGTGGTCCTTCCTCAGGTACTGTTCATAATTTAGAGTCTTTTCAATGTTGTAATGTAGGCCTTGTTCTCAAAAACCCTCTTGTTTGTGATAAGGTGGCTGTGGAAAATGTAGATGAGCCGGATGTTGCTCCATTGCCTGAACCTGAAGATGCAGTAAATCAACCTGCTGCTCCCCTCATGTTACCTGCACCTCAAGATGCAGTGAATGCAGCTGCACCCCTTGTGTTGCCTGCACCTCAAGATGCAGTGAATGCAGCTGCACCCCACGTGTTGCCTGCACCCCTTGTGTTGCCTGCACCTCAAGATGCAGTGAATGCAGCTGCACCCATCGTGTTGCCTGCACCCCTTGTGTTGCCTGCACCTCAAGAGGCAGTGAATGCAGCTGCACCCCTCGTGTTGCCTGTTGCTGTTGAATTTGATGCACCCCTGGAGGTGAGCCATTAGGCCATTGTCATTTAAGTTGCGCAGATCTTGTGTGCTCTGACCACTTTTTATCTCATGTCCCACTCTTCCTTTCAGTTTCTTGTGGATGGCAATGATATTGGGCATTGGTCGCCCCTTAATGATGACCAGTGGATTGGAGCGTCCCTGTTTGTGAAAGAGGAGGCAGAGGAGGACCTACTCGGTGCTGCAGCTCTGCCGGTATGTTTTAAAAACTGTCCTAATGTTTCGCCACTCAACCTCTTGGGATAATTTCACCACCTTTTTTTTTCCATTGATTCCAGCGTTTGAAGCAGGAGGTGAAAGGAGAGGCCAGTGAAATAATATATCTCACCGATTCTGATGATGACTCCAAGCAGCAGACTTATGCCGCAGTGAAACAAGAGGACAGTGATGATGTTGTCACCTTAAGTGATGTAAGTTTCTCATTACTATATGTATTGTACTTTGCTAATTTCATGTGTACTAGTCCTCTTAGTTTTGATTGTTATTTATCCCCTTCTCCCCCAGAGTCCTTATCAACAGATGTACCATACTCCGCCCAGATCCTCTGGGCTAACACCGGCAGCGAAGCGCAGGCTGCAAAGGAATGCTGGTGTAGTCTCCCCGATGCAATATGAGACTCAGCCTGAGCCTGATGCCGACACGGATGATTTAAAGGCCATTATCCGAGCCAACACCCTTGTTATGAGAGAACTTATTGGTTTAGTACGTAATCTAAAGATGACTCGTTAAAAAGGTTTGCAGTTTGCAATTTTTTTTCTATCAGCACACACTTATAGAGATGACATCTACAAGTGCAGCTGCTGATGGGTTTTGTGTTCTTATGCAACTTATTGATGTAAGGTTGTCATACTTTATTTTTTATTGACCTTAGAAACAGTTACTGTTTAATCATTGACGAAAGGTTTATTTTTTGTGGCAATTTTGAATAATTTTTGAATCTTATTGAGGACTGATTACATTTACTTAAAATATGTTGTTACTAGGTATAATGTCAATCATTGCATTGTTTTATTGACCATATCTTATCCTTTTTTAGTCTTGAATTTGGTGCTACTTTTATTCTATTTATAGATAGTTGCTCGTACTGTTGTCAACTTGACTGAATTCTTCCCTTCTGTTCCTCTTTTGAATTTGTGATTATGATTGAGACTGATTAAAAAGCACATCATTCAAGAACTGATAAAATTCTTATTAGACATCCTCACCCTTGATGTACATTTGACAATGAGTCCTGCTGCTTGCTGAAGAGGTCAGAGAACTTACTTTCACATAAGAGATTCCGACATGATTGCATTGTCTGTCATTAAAGTACAAGTAATAAAAAATTAAAGTAAAGAAAAAAGAAAATTTAACATTGATCCAAAATGTCAAATTCTACACCAAATACAATTTTAAAGATCTGATCAAGCCTAATTGTACCCTGGGCCATTCTGATTCTAGAGAACTTGACCCCAAAATTCTACGGCCAAATTGGGTGCACAGAAATCAGCTTAAATAGCTCTGTGTCAAAACGAACAGAAAATATTAGAAATTAAACGGGTTGACTTACAGACCCCATACATAGTTTTTTGGCAGTTTCATTACATATTGAGCCAAAAGTAATATCCCCCAAATGTTATTTTCTTTTACTCATGGGGATAGCCATTTATTTCAGTGTAGCCTTCTTAAATGACATTGCATGTCACATCTTCCATCCTGCTGCAACGTATTACTAAACTCCAACTGCACAACAAGAAAACAAAACAAAACATGACTGTATGAGTTGCCAATAACGGCTAACCTGAGGTTTATTTAACCATAAGTTTGTTTCAAGGTTGTGGTAATTAAACAAGTGAATAGTTAGTATACATTTGTTTTGACACCTGTCAAGGCTTGTTGGTTTGATTACTACACCGCTTTATTGTGTATGCCAGCTTATTGGAAAGCTTGAAAGCCTTCAGTTTCTTTCTGCATTTTGTAATCTTTATTGAGGTTACTCCCTAGTGTGTCAACAATCAAGAGCCATCATAAGGAGACGAAGCCATGGGTATGTTCAGGATCAGTAAATTTATTCTCTTACATGCACATGTGTTTGTTTTGTACTGATTAATTTTTGGTTTTAGAGTTCGACTATTTTGAAGGGCGTCCACATGACGTCAAAGCAGAGCACAGGCGTCGTGTGAACCACCAAATTCACGAAAAATTCCGAATAAGAGATAACAATGACCCTCTCAATTTAAGCATTCCTGAGTTTGTGAAAATATATC